AGATATCTCTTTGCTTTGGATCTGTAATGCTTTCTGTTCTTGGTCTTCAGGTAACTTTTAAAATCTGCTTGTTTTTCCAAGACTTGAAAAAGGAGTGCCACACTGCTCTAGCAGGTGTCTACTGCAGAAATCCTAGAAAATCCCAAGTAGAACAGCAGATCAACCTAGAAGCAGAGAAGCCAAAGGTACAGGCTTCAAAAAGCCAAAGTCTTTCCATTCCCCAAGAAGATACTCTAAAGGAGTGTTAGATCTTTTGCTTAGGGACCATTGTCCTCATAGGGAGCTAGAAGTTGTTCCTGAAATTAGTGACCTCTTTTTTTTATGTATTTGGTACAGGGTCTCACTATGTAGCTCAGACTCATAGTGATCCTCTTGTTTTCAGCCTCCCCAGCACTGGGATTACAGGTGTGCAACACCATGCCCAGACTCAGTGTGGCTCAGTGCGCCCGGGGTGGGACCGGCACAGCATGCGGTGCTGAGGATCAAACCTGGTCCCTGTGCATGCCTAGGCAGGCGCTTAGTCTGCTGAGCTATCTTGCCAGCCCAATTAGTGACATCTTGATCACCTCATACACTTGACAATAGACTGTAAAAGTTTAACGGGTTATTTTTATTTTGTTCACATATGCAATATGAAGAAATCATGTGGCTTCTATTCCCCCCTTCAAGGAATAAACTCACATTGGGGATGTAGCTTTATAGTAGAGCACCCTAACATGTTGGAAGCCCTGGGTTCAATCTCCAGCGCTGCAAAAACAACCCAAACATGCGCTAATATCACACACAAAATTGTTGTGGCCTGTACTGCTTATAACATGCTAAGCAAAACCTTTACATCAGTGTTTCTCAAACACCAATGTGCAGAGGTATCACCTAGTGATCCTGTAAAGATGCAGACTGCTTCTGTAGATGAGGAGCAAGGCCTTAAGTTCTTTGTAACAAGCTCCCAGATCACCCATGTCCTAAATCCTTCAGCCTCAGGTATCACGTTTTTATACCAGTGGATGCCATTAATGCATTCCTGTCTATAATCTCAGGGAATCCTTATTATCTCTGTTTAAAGACGAGAAAGCAAGGTACAGATCCAAATTTGCCCAAGGTCACAATGGCTGGGAAGTGGTAGAAGTTTCAGTGATGACAAGCCTTTTAGAACTTTCCATGATATAAAGTCTGCTGTGGTACATGTGCCACAGGTTTGCCACCACTGGAGCCCTAAGGAGTACACTGTATAAACTGGTTTTTTGTTTGTTTTTTTGTTTGTTTGAGACAGGGTTTCACTTTGCAGTCCAGGCTGGCCTTGAACTCACTATATAGGCCAACTCTTGGCAATCCTCCTGCCTCAGCCTCCCAAGTGCAGAGATTATAGGCATGCACCACCATGCCCTAGTTACACTGTATAAACTGTTGCACTTTGCCAACTTAAACATGATGAACACAGGTATCATTTTATTTTGTTATATCTAAAACACACAATACTACAGCATTCTACTTAAAACAGTATTCCTAATATGAAAATTTTACTATCTATACCTCTTATTTTCAATAAACTTTGAGAATTTGCATGCTCTTATACCACACATATAGTTACATCCGCTCCCCAGTGCTGTATTAAGGTTACCTGAGGCACGTGAACCAGACAACTCTTACTTATTTTTTTGCTATATTTCCAAACTGAAAAATAAACAGTTCACCCAGGGTGTGTGTGACTGACTACTGAAAAAGGTGCAGGGTACAAATCAGAGTTCGAATAATAGGAAGCCAGAAATTATCTAAATCCTTATTGCTTGACTGTGTTACTTTGAACAATGGTCTGTGGACCAGCAGCATTGGTTTCACTTAAGAACTGGTTAGACACGCCTGGCCTCAGACTTTGTGAATCAGAACCTGTATTTTAACCGGAATCCCGGAGGATCGTATGCACTTTCAAATTTGAGATCAAGGATTTTAATTCCGACTTGATTTAGAATCGTTTAATACTAAAGTATCTAGAGGGTTTCAACCTTGAAACAATAAGGGGCAACAGTGCCTTTCCTAAGTGGACGTTTTGTTTTCCTCCCTAATACGCTGCTGCTGTAGTGGCCGGCGAGGCCCGGCCCTCCCAACCTACCCCATGAGCCGCCCCAGCGAGAGCCTCGGCTGCGGGATCCGCAGCCCGCAGTGCGGCAGGCGCGGGGCAGCCACACCCCTCCCGCAAGCGGCCGTGCTTTATTTACTCCGCGGGGCCGCTAAGCCACGCGGAAGGCCGCACGTGGGCACCGACGGCGGCTTCCAACCCGGTAGGCGCTCGCCAGGGGAAGAGAAATGGCCTTCGGCGACAGAGGACCTTGCGTTCCGGTCCTGGACACCGCTGGCCAGGGCCTTAGGCCCGCGGCCCTCACCTTCAGTACCAAATCGGCCAGGTAGACGGCAGTCCAGCCACCCACTACTAAAACCACCAGCGACATCGGAATCATGGCGGCAGCGGAAAGAAGGTGAGCACCGGCGTTCTCCTCACTGCAGCCGCAAACGGCCAACCGTCGACCTGGAGCTTATAGCCCCACCATCTGCGCAGGAACTAAGTTGTCCCGGTTCTTTTGCTGCCGTGGTGATGTTTCCCGCCGGACCCTTCCGTTGAGCACACATGAGCCGACTTGAAAGTACCGGAAAATGGTACTGGGGCTTATTTTTTTGTGGCACTCCGGCGCCGCCGTCTGAAGTGCGGTTCGGCTTTGGCTGCCGCCGCTCTCACGATTTCTTAAGCTTTGCCCCGCCCTGATGCCTGGTCTCCCTTCTCATTGGTGTTTTTTGTTTGTTTGTTTCTTTATTTGTTTTTTTTTAATGTTTTAAGACAGGGTCTCGCTAAGTGGTTCAGGCTGCCCTTGAGATCAATTTGTAGCCTGGGCTGCTCTCGAATTCGCCGAGGTGCTCCTGCCTCAGCCTCCTCAGTGCTGGGATGACAGGTGTGCGCCACCATGCCCGGTTTGTCACTGCTTTTGATTTGGAATTTGCTGTTCTTTTGAATGTAAGTAAGTGGCGGGCCAAATAGCTCAGCGGATTAAAGCACCTGCGAGCGAGCGCAGGTGCAGGGCCCGGGAACCCTGGACCCTGCCGTCTCGGCCCCGCCTCCGGGGCGCATTAAGGTGGCGATTGAGACGGGGTGTGGTGGCGCGCGCCTCTAATCCCAGTGCTTGGCTCTAGTAGTGACACCCTGAACACGCTGTAGACCCTTCCCTAAAAAGTAAAGAGAAAAAGTTTAGGGTCCTCTGAAGTAATTAATTGCCTCAGTTTTCCCTACTCCTACATTTAATTACTTCCTGAAATAGTGGAATAATACATACAAAGTGTTCGTCTTGATGAAATATATATATATCGTGTTTTTTTTTTTCCCGGAACCGGGGATTGAACTCAGGTCTTTGCGCTTGCCGGGGAAGCGCTTATTCCACTGAGCCATCTCCCCCACCCCTTTGTTATGTATTTATTTAGTACAGGGACTCACTGTACAGATCGGAGTCCTAGTGATCCTTCTTGTTTTCAGCCTCCCAAGTGGGCCCAGTCTTAGCGTGCCCGGAGGGCGGGGGGTCGGGCCTGCACCGCAGGTCAGGGGATCGAACTCAGGCCCCTGCTTCTGCCTAAGCAAGCGCTTTAATCCACTGAGCTATTTGGCCGCCCCGATGAATTTTGATAGATGTGTAATCCATGTACCCTAACCAAAACGGAGAACATTCCCACCTCAGGAATTTCCTTCTCATTTCCCCTCCTAATCATTTTTCCCCAGCCCATCACCATTCTGAATTTTTTAACTTTATATTAACAGAATCATGCCTTTATGCCTGGTTTATTTTGCCCATAAAAAATTTGAGAGATAGCCAGTTAAGTTAGGCTTTTTTTTTTTCTGAGACAGGGTCTTACTGTGTAGCCCAAACTAGCTTTGAATTTACAGCAACGTTCCTCAGCTTCCCCATTCCACCCCTACGCCCACCTCCACCCCCACCACCACATTAGTTTCTTTTAAAAAGACTTACTTTACAGGGTTCAAGATTAGTCCTCTTGTTAAAAGTTGGAGTTAGGAACATCTGCACATATTTTTATGTTAACACATACTGGATTATATATTAAACTGTAGCAATGGTTCTCAGCCTCGGCTATTCATCGGGATCATCTGGGGCCTTTGAAATTCTGTAATCTAAGCCAATTAAATCAGCTCAGTGGAACCTAAGGATCTGTGGTGCAGATCAAACTCTGGTCCCTGTATCTAAGCAGGCACTTAGTCTGCTGAGCTATCTCGCTGGCCCACAGTGTTCATCTTTGAAAGTTGTTTGTCTCAATTTTTCTCGAAAAGCATTAATAATATTAATACCAAATACTGAAATTATGATAGTATCTTAACAAATGCACCCTCAACCTCTTTAAAGTGAAAAGGCAGTGTAAATACCATAAACCTGTAGTACAGATGTTGCTGGCAGTTTGCCTCATTTAATCATAGTTTTCCTACAGTTTGAATCACTTAGTAACATGTTTACCTAGCTTCAAGAATCTTATGACTCAGTTTTCTATCTCTGTGCAAATATACGTGTGTATTGTTGCAAATGCTTTCAATTATCATTGGCCATAGGGTGTAAGTTATGAAATTATATTCACGCATTAAGTGACTCCATAGTTTTCTATGTACAGATGTTGTAGTTTGGGGTTTTTGCAAAGGGAACAATACAATACAGGATGCATTTTATAAGATTATTTTGTAATCACCCAAAGAATCATATACAAAGAGTGCAGGATATCTGTTCACACACTAAAGACCAAATAATCCAGCTGAGGGCCTGGATCCCATGATAACGTCCTGCATGGGTCCAGCTGAAGACCTAGAGCCCATAACAGTGCCTCCCATGAGTCCAACTGGAGGCCTAGAGCCCACAACAATGTCTCATGCATGTCTCTTTCAAAGATCTGCGCTGGAAAGGCCCTTAGATCAGTGGTGGAAGCTAGAAAGTCTGCTCCAGCGGGATGAAGGATGTGTGCCAGCATGGAAGCTGCCCTGGGGCCAGGAACCAATGCTTAAGGTAAGAACCAGAACTCCCCATGAAAATACCACAGCCATCCTCAGCAACAGTGAGACCTGAGTTCCCATCAGGAAAGCCAATGCGACCAGCTTCTCCATGAGACTAAGCAGTACACCATCTTCCCCTCTGGAGCCAGAAGTGATGCTCAAGGTGAGGACTAGAGTTCCCCCAAAATGAGCCGTAGTCATTCTCAGCAACAGCGAGGGCCTGAGCTCTTCTGACAAGAACAGCTAAGTTCACCAGGAAAACCAGCATGACAAAGTTCTCTAGCAGAATAGCCCAAAAGAACCAGCAGCTTCCAACAGCTTCTCCAGGTCAGCCTCTTCTGCTGCTGGCAACAACCCTCAGGTGGGCCTCCCACACCCAGCACCATGCTGGTTCAGTTCAGCTTATGTAACAAGTTTGCCACCAGTTAGCAATCCACCACAACAGGTGTCCCATAAGTCTTAGTGTTGTTTTAAGATTTGAGAATTTTCAAAGTATAAATTTGACAAGCTTGCAAAAACTGCCACTTGGAAGCTTATTTAAATTTCTTTTATGTTTACTTAATTTTTCGGAATTTCAAATAATGTTGAATTCTAAATCTTTTAGTGCTCCTAAATGTTGACTGAAACAAAACATTAAAATATATTTACTGTGCAAAAATTCACAAAACCAAATAATCATGAAAGAATTTAAATAATTTAGATATTTTATGTAAATTCATAGAATATATACCTTTGAGATGGATTTTTTTTTTGCCTGGCAAAATGTATACCTTTGAAATTATTAAAGCTTCAAACTACACTAAGACTGTTGGTACACAGTAGTGTTAGAATTGACGTTTGTTTGCTCTTATGTAATGATTCTGTAGCTTTTAGCAGTGTTATTCCCTGGGAGAATAATATTAACTTAAGTATTGAAATAGCTTCTCTTTCGTTAGCCTGAAGCTTTGGACCACTTGCTGAGACAAGTGCCAGCTGCTGTGTGGCTATTTGATAATCTAAAATATGTAGGAAATGAGTTGATTGTATTTTTCTGTTCCCAGCCTAAAAATTTAGTTATTCAACTGAGTTGGTGTTCTCATCAGGAACCCAGCAGTCAAAACAAAGCACTGAATTGAATCCTGCTGGTTGCTGGAATTTAGCAGTCGTGGAAGCCAGCTGGTGGCAGCAGAAGAGATATGACAGGATGCACAGAGTAGCAACAAAGAATGCCTCTTTCTAAGAGATCAAGGTATTTTTCCACAGAATAAATTTGTGACTTAATTTCCAATTTAAGGTTTCTGTCAAGTAAGTATCTTATGTAAAACACACATAACCAAGCTTTTACTTCTATCATTTTTATTTAGTATATTATTTTTAGAAAGGTACAAAATGTATATTTTGGCTAAATGCAAAACAGATACATGTTAAAATCAGTATTTGGCTGAAGCAGAATATCTTATGATAACACTCTGAGATAAAAGAATATACATAAAATATAAAAAATAAAATTAAGTTTGTATATTATAATTTTGTAATTTAAAATATTAATATTCAGGTAGCCATTGTATATTTATATTTCAAAACAACAGTACACAATACATACATGTAATTTGTATTTACCAATTTAAAAAATATTAGTATTTAACATTTTTTAGGCTTCACATTACATTCAGGAGCATTTATTTCTCACCCTTGTAAGCTGATATTTTATATCAGGGGTAATCACCCTCTACATCTGTGACAATGAAAAGCACCAAGCAGGACAAGTTAAGGTGGAAACAAGGCCTAAAATCCGGTGGCTTGAAACAACAGAGATGTACGCTTGCATGCACACTGCGTATCCATCTTGGGCCAGTAGGACGATGAAGTGGAGGGTAGCAGGCCAAAGGAGTCCCTACCATTTTATCACATCTACAGCTCAACATAAGGCTTAGGTTCCCCAAAGCAGGAAAAGAGTAGACTAGAGGCTCTGCCACTGGCAGTTAAGATGCTAATTGCCCGGATGTGCAGTGTCATGTCCACTTAGGTTTCATTAGACAAAATAGCCTAGTAAAAAGACAGGAGTGGAATCCCTGAAAGCAGAGAAGAGTATGCCTGAGAATAAACATCAGTGTTATCTACTACATAGATGCTTGCTTTCAACCTAGGGGTGGAGTAGCAGATAATGTTTGGTCACCTGTGCTATCATAGGATACTGCTAGTGTTGATATTTCTGCAGAATTATTAAACTTTCTTTTCTGGTTAATAGGAGCTAAGGTAAAAATTCATTTTCATTTAAAATCCTAGTGTTAGTGGGATTGCTGATGATAGTGCAGTTTGCCTGAAGCATTCTTACAGATGAGTGCTTCAGTTACCAGTTAAAGAAAATATTTTCTGAATCTTTTCAGAAAGTCTTGTTCAAACTTAGATTTTTAATTTTTAATTTTTTGCTTTCACTTGGTGCTTTACACAATCACTTGAATAAAGTGTTTTTTGGTTCTGCAAATATAGCAATGGAGTTGTATAATTGGCTTTCAGGAAACCAGTCATCTTGGTCTTTTCATCTGAATTTGACTTTCATTGACTGTACTTCAGTATCAGAGTACAAGAATAGAATATTTCCGCAAACTATAATGTAAGAAATATTTATACTCTGAAAACACTGAAAGGTTTTTTTTTAAAATTTCTTCCACAGGTGCCAGCAAGCAGACTACTTTCTCTTCAGGCAGTGTTAGTAAGTTTAAATATATTTTCACCTATTATTTATGTTGTTTCTGTTCAACATGGCTTTAAACTGGTAACTACGATAGTATGTTGTTTAAATAATCTGTTAAATTATGACACAACAACTGCAAAATCTTTGGATATCATGTATTTCTTCTTACTGAGGTTTGAAGAAGTAGCCCACTAGTGTTCTGCTTATACCTGACAATGTGGATTACAAGCTTTTGGGACTGGCTTATGGGAAGAGATAGGAAAGGTTTGGAGATGTCGCCTACATGCAAAGCACTGGGACAGCTTTGGCTGTTCTGTATGGGAGATTCTGGTCAGAGCTCAGAAGACCAGAAGGTTGATAGAAAGCCAGCCTATAAAGACCAGGCTGGGGAGGTTTCTGCTGGGAAGAAGGACAGCATTGGTTGTTGGACTGCGGATGATTTGTGTTATGGGTTGGCAGAAGGCTTGTCTGCATTTTGCTCCTGACCAGAGACCTTGCCTGAGACTGAAATTAAGCACAGTGGACTAGTTAACCTTGAAAAAGAAATTTCAAGGCAGCCAAATAGTGGGGCAGTGGCCTGGTTGTTACTGGGGGCTTTTAGCCAGATTTATTTTGAGAATCAAGAGCAAAGGGCCCAAAAGGATGATTTAAAATGTTGTGAGTTTGGCCAGAAAGGAAGCTCCAGGAAAGGAAAGCTGTGGACTGTGAAGACAGAATTTGGTCAGCTGTGCCATGATGCTTCACTTTACAAACTTTTCTTTCCATGATCCTGGTCACAAGTCAAGTTGGATGAGAACTGAATCGAATTCACTGATTAGCTTCAATGTTGATCTTATGGAGAGTCATTTCTGGTTCAATGCAGCTTGTGACCAGAATCGTGAAAAAGAATTGTTCATGAACCAAGGCACCACTGTAATTGCTCTTTACTTTCAGTTCGGAAGGGTATATGAACAAAATATCGTGTGTTTCTTGTTCTACATCACTCTTAAACTTCACCACTCACTATATTATCAATAACAGTTTCATGGCACTTTACTGATTTTCTGTTACATATACAGTTTTTAGTAAGAATGTGATATGTTCATAGTTCAGCATCCTTCCAACAATCACTCACAGAGTTAAATTCATTATTCACCATGCCATCCAGCTTAAATATGACTTGCAGTTGTTTCTATATATCTAAATATATACTGTCCAAGATAAAGTAGTGCATTTAATATAATCTTTAATATTACAGCAGAATACAATTACAAAAAAAGTTTTAGATAATCCATGTTTAGAAGGAATTTAAGTGCAACTCATAGCTCCCACATATCTCAAGAATCTTTGTCTTTAAATACTGAACATAGGCAGTATTCAGTCCAATTGTTACTGCTTTATAGGCAGTTTTTGCCTCAGGGTATTCATATCGGGTGTAATTTACTCCTATGTGTTTTAGCTCGGTTTGCTTTTTACATGGCTGTGATGCCAGTACTCTAGGAGGCTGAGGCAGGAGCATTGTAAGCTGAACCAGTGCCTGGGCAGTTTACTGACTCAGAGCTTATCTAAGATATAAATTAAAAAACAACTGGAGATGTAGCTCATGTAGAAAGCCCCCAAAGGAAGGCTGTTGGGAAAGGTCTTGGAAATATTTCATATGAAGAACAAATAAATAAATTAAATATATTGTATCTGAATCATTGATCTATGATAATTTTCAAACTTTTAAAAAAGAAGATATCCTCTTTGCCTTTCTGCAGTTTTTTTTTTTTTTACTTCACACACTATTACTTCAGAGATTTCAGGAGTGTGGCTTCCAATTTCTTCAATGCTACTGTCTCCTGCATTTCTTCTGGGTGGGCTCGGGGACTGAGACTGCATTTTGCTCCTTCTCTTTGTCATTTTGTATAGCACTGTCCTCTGACCTTTGGCGTAGATCTTTGGTGTAGTAGTTACCTTAGCTATTAATGATATTATTACCCAAGGGAGATTATGTCATTAAGGCAGTTGCAGTTTTGTATTTACAGTACTACAATTAGCAATACTAATAATAGGTAGTGAGATTTAGCGATTGACAAACTTTTGTAATTAATGGATTTGTATTTTAGACCCCGAGGGCAAGCATCATGACTGTATAGCTAAGCAAGTAAAATATTGGGAATTTATATTTAAATTAATTCCCCTGAGATCTGTCTAATCACCTCCCCTTGATGTACCAGGAGCACTGCAGTGAGCTTCAGACCTTGGGACTGAATCCTTCAGCCTTGGGTGTGCAGACACCCTCTGCATGCTTCCTCATCCAACTCCGTGGCTGACTGTCATAAACCAATCTTGTAATTGCTTGTACATTTGTACATCGTGTGTTATATCTGTTCCTTGTATTGTATCTGTTCCTCTAGTAAAACCCTGACTAAAAGATTCTACTTGGGTGAAAAAAAAGATAGATGAAAAGTCTGAACTAAGACCAGCCTTAGAGACTTTAAACCTACTGGAAGCCACTTCATAATCAGAAGATTTTGTGAGACATTTTCTTTGTCCATCTACAGCTAAGGCTAAAAAAGGCAAATATCCAAGTCTTGGGGATTTAATGTCTATATTTACTGAAAGCCCATTAAAGTAGCAACTCTGGGTTATAGAAGATCCTGAACTGAGTCAGACAGACAGACAGACAGCAAGACAGACAGATTCTGAGACTGAACAATTTATCCAGACCCTGTCCTAAAAATGTTTTTTAAAGAGCTGGTGATATAGCTCACTGCAAAGGCCTCGGTTTCACAGTGTCACAAAATCTAACCTTGGGATGGTTGGTGTCTGTCATAATTTGGATGGCCATTAGTGCTCTTTGTTGGGATCTCATTGAATTTAGAAATTCAGATTCTCTAGGTACACCTACAGGCCTTCAGGATGAGAAATTCTCTAAGGGATGAGGCCTGTAGGTGGCAGCTTAACATACCTTTCAAATGTTGAAGCACACTTACGTTGAACAACTAGCTATTGAAAAGATGCATTCATTCAGTCTGCTGGTAGCATTGCTAAGTTTAAACAGTCTCTGTTGAACCATCTTTGTGTTAGGAGCCACTCTTCTATCTTTGTGGCATAAAGTTTCATCTTCAGTAACACAAGGAAGCCTCAGCTATTCTGGAGGGATCATTTAGGTCCAGGAATTCAAGACCAGCCAAAGCAGCATACAGAAACTCCCACCTCAAAGATAAAGCCAAATGAACACAGGGCTCGAGCTTCAGTCCTCAACTATTACACATGCTAACTTCAACAAATGAATGGGATCTGCATATGCTTAAATCCTCAGGGTTCCTATGCATTTGCATGATAACTTTCTAAGGTTTTTCTCATGCCCAGTGTGTCTATAGAATCCTTTATACTACAGGAGAGTTTAATACCCCCCAAAAGGATTTCTGATTTGTAGTTGTGCCCCTCAAAAATTATTAAAGATTATTGAAAATATCCAGCTTAGGAAAGGATATAGAGCAATTGGAACTCTCACATTATATCAAAAGAGCCAAGCACAGGAACATCCAAATGGTCTTTGGCAGTAGAATAGATGAATAATTTTTTATATGAATAATTTGTGAAATATCACACAGCAATTTAAAATATTTCTTTTCTACATAAAATAATATGATTCAGTCTTATAATCTTTAGTAAAAAAGTCAGACTCAAGAGTTCCATACTGTGTAATTACAGTGTTAAGGAATTTAAAGACCAGAACTAATATATAGTGATAAAATCCAGAGGAATGACTAGTTATTTCTTGGAGTAGAGAGGAACTGTTGACTGCATCGGGAAGAGGTCGAATACTGGCATGTTCTGGATTTTGATCTGGGTCATGGTGACACATGTAAACTATCTCATGTTTAGCCCTTAACATGTCAAAATAGCGTGCCTCAGGACTACAGTGTACGAGCTGTCGAATTTGCTTATTTCACTAGTCCTAGTGAGAGGCAGTGTTCAAAAGTGAGTAGATAATGTCTTGGTTTCTTTCTCTTTGCTGAGACATAGTACCTGACACCCAAGGTTAAAGGAGGAGAGGTTTATTTGGCTCATAGTTTCTAGAGGTTCAGTCCATAGTGGGCTGACTGTAAGGTGGGGTGGCATGGCAGAGGGACATTGCAGAGGAAAAAGTCATGGCAAGCAGGCAGGAGAGAACATATTAGCCCTCTTTCTTTCCCTTATACTGTATGAAGGCTACCTGCTCTAGGGTGGGTGTAGACCTCATAGCCAGAACTATGCCAGACTAAATCAGTGGACGGATTTAGTAATCACACATCCTCGATCTCAGCACCACACACTCTAGATCCAGCTACCTCTGAAAAAGCCCCTCCACCCTCCATCCTTGTGACTGCATCAGGCTCTGGGAGCACCTAGACCCAAGCCATAAAAGTTGGATCTGGGATAACTTGGAGGGCCAATAAAACTAAATGGTAAGCACTACAATTCTAGAACATTTCTTGGGCATTTCTTCTTTGTGTGTACATGTTAGTTTTAGTTTTGTTTTGAGACAGAGTGTTGTGATATAGTTCAGGCAGGCCTCAAACTCATAGCAATCCTCCTGCCTTAGCCTCCAAGTGGTATACTTATATTGACACCACACCCAGCTTGTTTTTTAGGTTTTCACTTTAATAGTCAATGTAGTTTTGTTGTTAAGCATACATTGTCTAGATTTAGATGGTCTGGATTCAGATTCTAGTTCTACTATGTAAAAGTTGTGCATTTTTACAAATTACTTCATTTCTTATTTGTAAAGTGTAGATAATTTCAGGAAGTGTATTTGCAGGGAACAAATAACATGTTGACTATGAAATGCTTTTCATGGTTTATGGCCCATGGATTTTTAATCATTTTAGTTTGGAGCAAGAGTATACTCTTAAATGGGATAATGAGGGTTGTCAAAAAAGGTTGTCAGAAAAACTAAAGAGCTAGGATGTAACTCAGAGGTAAAGCACTTACTTAGCATGTGCGAAGCCATGGGTTTGATCTCCAGCACTGCAAAATAAATACATAAAATACCAGAAAATTTTACAT